GGACGAAGTAAGCAAACCAGCCCTTTTGGCGTTTCTGCTGGGGCCGTATGCTGAATGTTGGGGAGGGGTGGGGTCCGACGGTCGACGGACTACTTCAACTCGGTCCTTAAAACCGCCTCAATTTGATGCTTACCTCAGGACTAAGCCTTAAAGAGAGGACGGAGTTGCGAGGGAGCTTAGTCCTGGGGTGAGAAAACCATCTTTTGGCGGGAGCTGCTGGACCTAGCTGCACCACTTCGTCACGTACTCACCTACCTACCGAGTCCGTCGACCTCGGGGACCCCATCCCCTCCCCAACATTCAGCATACGGCTCCCAGCAGAAACGCCAAAAGGGCTGGTTTGCTCACCTCGTTGCGGGCCAGGCCCTGGACAATGCAGTATCACTCCTATACGCATGTGCCATATGGGGTCGTCTTATAAACGTAGGTCACTAAAGTAGTATTTTGCTTTGGATTTGATCCACTGACCATGTGGTGGTGATGTCACTTGTCACCTCTTCAGCTCTTTTCATGTATAATAATAAAATTCCGTTACAATATATCGACTCGAGATAGCATTGAAAAACAATCGACCACTTTATTAATTTCAATCTGTAAACCCTATAAAATGCGATATTTCAAGTTTATTTATGAGTCTTTCATCGTATTGTTGACTTCGCTGAGTTAGCTTACATTTCACTAAATTGTGATTCATTCTTCAGTGTTAAACCAAAATCGTCACCAATGGCCGTTTCTCCACCGTTTCGTTGGGCATGGATCGTCGGTGCTCCGCTGCTTTTCTCGCCATTACTATATTTTGGACTTGTAAGTCTAAAAAGTTACAATTTTACTGATGACGATCACGTCGTGTTATAACTCGGAGGGGCGAGTACGGTGCAGCAAATGCGCCAGTCAGGCCATGAGTGGGGGATTACGATTTTTTGATATCCCCCTCCCCCCAATAGTGTTGCTTCTAATTGTCAGTAACAAAGGCGGAATTTGATGTCGATGCTAGACAATCGCAGTTCTTTGAATTGGTTAAAGGCAAACCCCGGGATTAGCCCGACTAGTAGGAAGGATACCGTTAGGGAAATTGTAAGGTCCGTACCTACCTAGATCACTCCAGCTTCGTCGCAAAAATTGCGCGGTTAGGGCGCTAATCCTTACGGGCCTGCAACCATCGACCCAATTCCAACGCTTCCCACCCACCGCGAGAGGTGGTGAGATCAGCGATGCTCTTGGCAAACGAGAGTACCCTCCCGCGTTCGAATTTTTTTTTTCATCACGCCTGGCTCCAGTGTACCACATGCGACACCTTATTGGAAAGGGTGAAAGGCCTCAATTCCAGCGTTTCAAAATTTTCTCTTGCTTTCTTTCCGCTTTTCAGGTCGATCCGCGAGTCAGAGTGATATAAAGGGTAGACGGCGTCACAAGATGCCGGCCTCAAGCCAACACCACCTAAGAGCCCAAGCAGCTCATAGCGATGAGCGCGTTGTGCCACGCGTGTGTCTTTGTTCACGTCCCTGTAAAATTTCAAATGTCCAGAAATTACGCCTTCATAAATTTGATTATTCAATTTCAGCCCTTTCGCTGCGCGTTCTGTATCGTGGTGCTGAGCATATACTGGATTGTAGAGGTGGTTCCCATGGCGGGATCACATCACTGGTTGGCCGCAGTGTGTCCTGGGTTCCTGTTGCTGGTATCGAATCAGGCAAGAGATCTGCCCTCGTCGTATTTTCAAGTAATTGAGATTGCAGGCATTCCTTTTTATTCTTACGTTACTTTATTGGGAGCGCAGATAATATCGTATTTTTAATATCGGAAGTTCTTGTTGAGGCACGGGAAGGACGAGAAGACACATGGAGATCAATAAAGCCAAGAAGCTGGGGGAGGGGGGAGGAGGGAGGAGGGCCGCACGAGAAAGAAATGAAATGAATTGACATATGAGCACCTTCGTAGTAGTTTGAACATACGGCGGTGAACTTATACTCGCTCTCGCGCGGTTATCAACGTTGGGCACTATTCGAGACTGGGAAATTTTGATACATCCAACGCCATCTTCGCAAAAAGGCGCTTCCTTGGGGCATTCCTGGTCGAAAGAAAAAGAGAAATTCGAAGAGGTCTCTTTCCACTCCGAGTGCTGCATCCAGCCTGGGGCTGTTACATATGACCGCATACCATACGCATGGTGGGTTTCTACCATTATCGGCCCCCTCTTATGGTTAGGGTTAACAAGCCTTCCGTACTGAGGAGTCTGCGGAATCACTATTTTGATAGCAGTGGCCTCAGAGGATAGGAACAATAACTTGTTCATTGAATAGTCCATAGGATACCGGAAAGGCCAAGACAGCATTCAAATACCGTCTGGATCCGAAGAAGAAGTGGAATGCGTGACCCATGCAAAAGGGGGTTGATCAATACCGAATGCCTCACCTTTTCACTTGTTCAACTGGGTTTTCGTTCTACAAAGGGTGCCAACCTCTCGAGGCAATTCCGATGACAGCTTTTCATCTAGTGAACTTTGACCATATTCAGGACTCCATTGTTCTCTTCATATGTATAATGACGATGACCCTGGCCGTAGAAGAGACAGGCCTGCATCGGAGGATTGCGCTGAAGCTGCTCTGCAAAGTTGGCACGAAGAAGCAAACGTGGGAAGCCTTTCGTACAAGGAATTTTTGTGGATATTTTTGAAAACTGGAGAATTTCAGAATGCTTCTGGGCTTCATGTGCACGACTGCCTTTCTGTGAGTTTTATGCCTTTTTCTAAATTTTATGCTCTTCTTTTGTTGATTATGTTATTTATTCAATAAAAATAGAGTGAAGAAAAGTGAAATAGAATTACCAAGCCCCAACACTTCATCGGGAAAGATTCCCAGCGGAATGAATCGGGTTTTCGCATAATCCAACAGCTCATAAGAACGCCAAACCAGCAAAGTACTGACTTCTCCGCGAACCTGAAATGTCTCAGAAATCTGTTGTTGACTAAATAATGCATTAGATGATAATGTTTTCCTGATATAATTTTTTACATAATATAAAAAATAGTGTTAGCCCATAAAATATTAGGTCCACTAGATGACCGGTTGTCGTGAATTCTGTGCGATTTCTTCAATATGTGGTCACACCTGATGGGTAGGTTCATGTAATCTTGCGTACTCTTTATCTAACTACAACGTACTCTTTATCTCTCTATCGTTCTAGTGGTGGTCTCTCTCACTCCGTGGCGACAGACATCAAAGTTAGCTGGTAGCACTCTTCGCATTGACCGATACCGACTGAGGGTTTTCTAGTCTATTAGAGTTATCTTGGGACGACTTTTTCAGGCTCTAAAGAATGCGAAGAAAGCCGAAACGTAGCCTTGTTGAGTACTTAACTTTTGGAGGGCTTCCAATAAGACTGAACTTCATTACAAGATTAAAGAAGTCGATGTGGACGATTGTGAGATAGATCAATATAAACGGTGAAAAGTAATTATAAAGCTATCAGGTGCCAGTTGCTTACGATAAGGTCAAGATCGTCGTAGGCGTTGTGGATGTTCTTCTCTACTGCCTTGGCTACTCGTTTCTCATCGATATCTTGACGAGACCACCACCGAAAGCTGATGAGGTCCCATGAAGAAACACTTAACTCACTGATCTATTTTTCCATCAAATTTAATGTTGTCTGTAGTTGGCTGCAAGCTTGGAGTCAAATGTTAGACGGAAGTCGTACCGTGAGAATCAGGAACGAAGCGGTGAGGTAAAGTATAACCGGCGGAATAGCAAATGCCATCCACTGTAGGAATGAGACGCGAACCTCGTTGTGAGAGTAAGTCCTGGAGAGTCTTGTTTTTCATATATAAGCACTATTTGCTCAGAATTGATAACTTTTATAGTTTTTAACTCACTTAATGAAATCTGAGTTCCGTAATGAAATCCTGAATTCACCAAAGCAGAACTAACCAGGAAAGCATTCAACTTCCCATGGAACTTTGAGCTGAGACCAGATATATCGGTAGAACTTCAAAGGCTGATTACAAATATGTAAACTAAACTGCGAATGAAACACGCGTCTATAGGAAGTTGTGAGGCAGTTGGCGGTACGGCAGCAATTGAGTGATCTCGCTGGCTGGCGACGGACCGCAGACGCTAGCGGAAACGCGCCCAAAGTCTGGACTCGGGTGGAGTCGCCGGAGTAAGATGCTGTGCCCCCGATGTTCACCAAAGCTGCTTGTGTTCTCCACGCCTTAGTAGTGCGTTTTGAGAGGCATACTATCTTCTTGGTGACTTTTAAAGACGGGAGCTAGCACGGTTATATGTACGCTTCACTTAAGCATCTTCGCCTGCTTAACTTGCCTTTGGAGTTTCCATTTTTGGGCAATTTCAATTTCATATTTTTATTCACGGTTCGCAGGCTGCTATCGAGGTATCCGGTCTTCAAGCTAAAGTCCGCATGGGAAGGCTTGAATGCTTCCCCGTAGTTTATTCGTACGATGAACTTTTAGCGAGCTAAAGTATGGCTATTGCAATTTCAAAAAGTTACAACGGTTCGGTAGTTATTCGAACCACGAAAAGCCGTTCGCTACAAGGAGTGAGGCGGTGGCGACGCGCGAGTGTCGTGCATAACATACGTTTAGTTGGAAATTAGTAGGTTTTGTGCTGCAAAGAGTCTTACGTCTGATGATCTCGCGAAACCAGTTTGGGCCGGTTGCGACGGGTAATGATTTGCGTGTTCACCGCTGCAGAGAACTATGAGCACAATGCGAGCAAAAGTGGCTAATAATGAAACTAGGCCAACATCATGAGTGAGCAATCGCAGTAGCAACTTCAATGACACTCAGGCTGAGAAAATATTTAAACAGTTCTCGGAATAGATGGATCCGGCTATCGGCATTCAAATACTAAGACGTGAGTTTAACGGACTTGCTCAGCGTCGCTTTGGCCTGAGGCGGTCCACAAATCGCATTTTGCAGATTCTCTACTTCTGGAGAGGGATGAAAGTTCGTGGATCATTCTCAGTTCCTAATAATGAAAAGTTTTGAGCAGTGTAGTAATAAAATAAGAATTGGGGATAAAGTAAGAATTGGGAAGAAAGGAGAAGCGTTGGGTGGTGTTCAACCACATAATGAGATGCGCCACGCATTCTAATTCCATTCAAAATGGTAGTGGCAGGTTGTATGCGACGTAATCTATACAAAGACTTGCGGGCCCAGATATGTTCATTTACAGTGATTCATCCTCCCAGATAAGTCTCGTACCGATGGGCCGACCCGGAGGGATGGAAGGCTTAAGGCCCGTACGATGCACGACAGAGAATTTGATCCCCCGATCACGCGCCTGGTAAGCAACATCGTATAACTTCCCACCTTCGCCCCAGTATGGTAATACGGAACGAAATGATTACACTTGAGTATACGGAATTCTATTGTTTATAGTGTCTAAGCTATAATTTCAGTAATTGGCTCACTCTCACTCTTCTCCTTTCTGGAACTGCCTCAACAAATCCTATAGCATCAAAACTCAAAATACCTTACAGAATCCTCGCTGACTTGGTGATAGCAATTTCAGATCCATAAGTTTCGATCTAAATAGTGGAATGGCATAAAGTCGACACGATATAAAATGAAAAAGATAGAATATAAAATGAATGGACATGGCCTACCCTTCAATATCTTCAGGGTCTTCAACAATACTGTTAGTAGCACGAACTATAGCCAACGCGATTGGAATCATTAATGCTGTGCATGCAGTATCAGCGAAGAGAAAATGAGCTGAATGATAGTAGAGATTCATTCAGGGTAATCATAAATCCTTCTATTTTATAAAGCGCTAACTTTGTGTGTCGGTTTGTGTATCTGTATGTGTGTGTGTGTGCGTGTGTGTGTGTGTATGTATGTATGTGTGTCCGTCCGCAAAATGAAGTGAGTGAGAAGGAAGCTCATGGGATAAACAAACCGCTAACAAATCGGGTAGCTTACAGGATTTGAGATATCAATGTTTTGTAGCAGGATAGTTGTGATAACACTCTTAGGGCTATATAAACACCTGCTTAGCACACTTCCGTTCATTCCACATGGTGCTGCAGTGGCAGCTGGAGGGCAGTGGAGAGAGGAAGGGAGGATGAGGAAGGGAAGCGAAAAATCTACCGTCATATCATGATTGTGTCCCTTCTACTGTTTGAAACACCATTGTGTTGCATACGCGTCACTTCCACGAGGTGTTGGTGTCACAGGAGGAAGGGACCATAGCGGAGGATAGAAAGCTTGCGCAGGAAAGGAAGGTCCCGGCGGTTGACGGGGGACTAATCTGGTAATAATAATAGGAAAGTGTACGCGGCTCGGGAAGTTGAAGTCCTTTTTAT